CAAAAATATATAGGCTCAAAAAAAGATAGTTGTAAATTAGCATAAAATATAAACAATATTATTTCACCCAGTTCACTTACGCAATATGTTAACAAGAAATTATAGTCTCTGAAATGTGCAAAGATATTTATTTATTTAGAATTAAGTCACAAAAAGACTTTGCAATTGTTTTTACATGCCTGACGCTACACCACCGAGCTACCACAGCCCTCTGCGTGGAGCAGAGAGCTGCTAACGAGGGCGCCCGAGAGAGCAGATGGTGGAAGTTAAGGGTCTTGCTTGAAGGCTCAGAGTGGGGAAAATGAGGGTTCTTCAACTGTCCCACTTTCATTTCGACGTTGTCAGTCTGGGGAGTCGAACCAGCGACCTTCCGATCACAGGCCCACCTTCTCTAACCTCTGCACCATCACTTCCCCTTACTCTTTTTACTGTGCATAAATGCTAAACTGCATTAGCAGCAGTTATAAAAAAGTGTGTTTAGATAGAAAATATGCAGGATGTGTTTGAGTTCATTTTCTTTTTGAATAGCAAGATAGGCAACACTTTGGAACATCGGTGGCGTGTTACCACGGCAACAAGTGAATTCATAGCTTTTCAAGGTTAACTTGTTAAAAAAAAAAAAAAGTTGATCTGTTGCTGCTCCAACACAATGTAGCTAAAGTACATGACTGCATTCACATGGATGGACTGTTTTGTTTTAACTCATACAGCAGAAAAACAAACTGTTAATTCATCATCATAGCATAAGGTGTAATATTTTACATCAGCTGTTTTGTGCTTTATACACGATGCTTGATAAACTCCACCTGATGCACCTTTTCCAATAGTTGATATTTCTCTGCAAATAAAAGGAGGGTTGGAGTTAATTAGCTTTGAATTGTAATAAATAAATAAATAAATATTAACAGAATATGAAAAACGAACAGGGGTTGAACCTGCATTGGAGGCAACCTGATATGTACAGTGTATTGGAGGAGTAATTGGACTTTAATTTAATGTAGATGCACAATACAAATACTTTATATGTCACTGGTTTTTCAATTGACTCAACTTTGTTCTGATCAGACGCAGCAGAGCCTCAAACATGTGGCTAACACAGATATACTGTATCAAGGTTGTTTTGATGTACACTTGTGGCTTAGGCAAATTAAACGTCAGTAAATCTGCATATCTCATCCCTCACTCTGCATTAAAGATATCTGGAAAATAGTTTTTGTCATTCTGTTGCGCATTTATCTCATCACCAAATACTGACTAATTAAATTAAAGGTCAAAAGTAAAAAAAAAACTGTATGAACTTGTATGAAGAGTCGACTTCACCTGCAACTGTAATCAAACTTGCAGGTCAGTTCTCGGTTTCACCAGGACAGGGCAGTGGCAGATTTGATTTAATGACCGATTCTGTAACATCCTAGAACAGAGCATAGAACATTTACGGTAGTTCAGTCGACACAAACAACATTTACTTCTCCTGTTTACTGTGAAGAAGAAAAAACAAACACTTTAAGTCACTTTTTTGTGGCGCTTTTTTGGAATCCTGCAGGTAATTGTAAGTGAAGTTAGTCATGTTGAGCTCACTAAATATCAGTAAGGTCTTGACCTTATTATAAAGTATTTTAAACTCATCAGCCATAACATTATGACCACTGACGGGCAGTCCTGTTCTTTTTTAATATCCTTAATTCCCATATATGTTACTTTGACATTTTCCTACAATCGAAACATTTTGAGAGTAAAAATAAAAGGACTAAGTGTTAAGTGAAAGTTAATATGATGTTTTATACTTTTTTATGAATGAAATACACAAAACACAGTTCAGTGGTAATTTTTTAAAGATTTTCAGTGAGGCAGCGTCATGGCGGCTTGAGCAGTCATACTTTCAGAGGCAGTTTTTAAAGGCTGTGTTTGCTCTACAAACCACAAAAAAATATATTTTTAAAGGAAGATGTCAAACATACCACTTAAAGTTGTTCCTCAAGATTGATATATTTTGTGTGCTCATGAAAAGAATAATTTATGATGCTAAAAATAAAAGTCACTCAAGTGAGATGAACATTTCAGAACAATCAGTGGGCTCCTTTGTCCTTTAGGAAATTGTTGTTTTTCAACTGAGCGGAGAGAAATTCAGCTTCATTATACTGAGAAAGATGTCAGAGAAGCCTTGTTTTTTTCTGATAATGTGTTAAACGTGTACTTCACACAAAATCCTTGTGGCTGGCAAGCATGCCTTTGAATCTCCTCAATAAAACCATTGAACAAAAAGAAGTTGTTCAGGATTTTAACAATATATTGACTCAATAATGTCATCTCTTGTCATTGTGTGTGCGTGCATGTGTGTGTTAGAGATAATTTCTGCTCCTTTTAAAGAAATGCGCTGTATTTAATCTTCCTGTTAAAATGCTTGCAAATAGATTTGGTGCAAATTTAAAGTAATAGTGTTTTTCATTTTTTTTAATAACGGCTACTTTCAGGGTAAACAAGGTTTTTGTTCTGCACAAGCTGATCCACCCGTTTAATTTCGCTTCAAAGAGTTTCTAAATTTCTTAGGATGTACAGCCTCTGGCCAAAACAAACAGGAACAAAAGGCGCTTAAAGAATATTTAGAAATTTCCATAAAATGATTCCTGCTATCCTTACTGGTTCTCGAGCTGGGATGCAACCCCATATCATCAATGGCTGTTGAAATGTGCTAATTGTTTAGACATTTATTATTAAATGCATTTTTTTATTGAATCGAGCAAAGATTTCAATGGTCCAAATTTAGATTTTGCTTCCCTTCAACTCTCTGTGATTTACATATTTAAATCCATTCCATATTCTACTATATATTCTATACTGTTCATATTTGAGTGTTAATGTTGGTAGTAGTGTATCTGCTTCAGTGCCTCTTTCCTGCGGAGTCCCGCAGGGCTCGATTTTTGGACCCCTTCTGTTTTCACTCTATCTGCTCTCTTTGGGTTCTATCCTGAGAAAACAGGATATTTCTTTTCACTGCTATGCTGATGATTATCACTCAGATTTATTTGCCCTTAAAACCAAATAGTTCTGGCTCCATTCATCCTCTGTCAAAATGTTTTGATGACATCAAGGCATGGATGGTTGCAAATTTTTAAAGTTTTAATGATCAGAAGACTAAAGGCATTGTGTTTAGCCCTAGCTCTACTGCTGTCTCTGATCCTGTTAACCTTAACTCTCTTGAGCCATATCTTAAGTAGTATGTTACAAATCTCGGGGTTTTAGACTCTGACTTTAAGTTTAATAAACAGATTAACTCTCTTCTGCAGAAAGGCTTCTTCCAGTTAAGGCAGATAGCTAAGCTTAAGTCAGTGTTGACCAGACCTGACCTTGAAAAACTAGTCCATGCCTTTATTACTACCTGGCTGGACTACTGTAACACAAATACCTCTGCTGAAACCCTTCTAATTGGGGCAGCAGCGGCTTTACAAGCTCATTTTCTCAAAGTCAGATCCTTACCACCGTTTAGTAGAAGGTCATTTCAGTCACTTGTATCAGTGCTCTTGTTCTTTTTGTCATAATCTATACCTCATGCCTATAGGTGAGAGCTGGAGCATTTATCAATCATTAAATCAGGAGCTTTGCATTTCAACTCAATTTCGTTCCACCTCATGTACATCTGATGCGATTGACAATAAAGAAACTTGAATTTATCATTTTTTTTAATATTATTTTACTTAATAACTGAACATTTAAAGATTTTTTATTAAGTTGGTGTGCCATTAGTTTTACTCCATGTTTATTTTCCGTGTCTATTGCTAGTTTTGTGTACACAATTTTGTTCCGCCACATGTACCACATGCCATGTGGTACATGTATGACAAATAAACTCTGACTCTATGACTCTAGTTTTCCTTCAACCATTTAGTTCTGCTGTTTGTTTTTTTGTCTCCAATATTTTTCCCATTTTTTCTTTTAATTTTAAAGCACTATTTTTTTGTTTACCCGTATATAATTTATCTTTTCTTACCGTGTATTTTCTTTCTCCAATCTGCATTTTTCTGTTTTCTTTTTTATTTATTTCTCATCAATCAACACTACAAATGACTTTTTGCACACAAGGAGTTTCCATAATGCTGGGTTTTCTCCTCATGCACACTCAAATTGGATTTTTTAAATTCTATTTCACATTCAGCAATATAATTTGATTGTATTGCTATAAAAAAAAACTAAGGCAGCCAATAAGACAGAATGATAAAAGGTTTGCGTTGAGCTTTACTGAAGGCAAATCTGAAAGGTAATCTAAATGTGTTGGTGCATGCACACATTCAATCACCAGCACACACAAACACAAACAGGTTGGAGTAAAAGTGATTATGTTTTGGCTTTCAGAGCTCATAAACATGCTGCCATAAGAAATATGATTATGTATGACTAGATAAAGCATCAATATGTCAAGAAATTTATATTCCTCACTTTTATTGTTTTTTGTTTTCAGGGAATGCAGCTTGCAGATGCAATATTCTTTTAATTTACAAATGATCTGGCTTCTATGCTCATTTGTGCCTTTTTTTTAATACTTTTAAAAGTTCATCATGCCTGTACTAATCAAACAGTTTTATTTATTTACCTTTATTGGTAGTCTCGTCGAATCACAAGGACTCATTTTCAAGAGAGACCTGTTTGGGAGCAGATGGTGGGGGTTAAGGGCCTTGCTCAAGGGCCCAGAGTGGGGCGAATGAGGGAGGAGGAAGGTGTGGGTGTTTCACCTTTTCCACCCACATTTTGATGTCAGTTTCGGGAGTCGAACCGGTGACCTTCCAATCACAGGCCCTCCTTCTCTAACCTCTGTGCCCCCACTCCAAACACGATGCCGATATGTGTGTGCAAATCCAAAGTCACCCTTCGCACTGACCTTGACCAGCGTTTGGGTTCGAACCCACAGCTCGTTGCTTCCCAGCGCAACTCGTAACACACGGAGTGAAATTTCCAGACAATTCGTCCTTGTACAATTTTACTAAGCTGCTGTTCTGTTCCTGTTCCAGGAAGTGCGAGCACACCGGTGATGTTTAATGAAAACGGAGATGCTCCTGGAAGATATGACATCTTCCAGTACCAGGTCACCAACAGATCCACCACTGAGTACAAAGTCATCGGCTCCTGGACCAACAAATTACATCTCAAAGTGAGATTTTTGCACACACACAAACACACACCCACAGACTGTTCCATAAATATGTCGCTTCACCATATACGTCGCATCTGTCATGCATCATTGCTGACATGTCACGTTTATTACGTGTCACAGCTGACAACCCAGAAATGTGAGCCGGTGTGCCAAAAATCGATTAACTGCCAAATAGCAGCCGCAGAAGTGTGCATGGGAAGGCCTTAACAAGAATTTAACAAGATTAACACTTCAATTATTAGTTTGCTCAGAGTTATAGTAAAGGTGTGTCTCAGTAGAACTTTTATGAAATAAATGCACTTCAGTGGTCAAATTAGCTGCATTTCACCGGGGCGGCGCAGTGAAATGTAGCTGATTTGACGTTGCTACATGCGAGCATTACGAAAGTGGCAGGCTTTGGCAAGCCGATTGTGTCATTAATAATCACTTTTACCTATTACATGACACAACTGCATGCCATAGTGCTCCAGTGCCATCTAGCGGCTGAAAATTATAGTGTTCAATATTTTCAGTCAGAATGAAAGAAAACGGTCATATCTCAGCCAAAATTAGTTTATAAATATGGGAAAAAAATCCATAAATATGTCGCTTGGGTGTATAAATCGCAGGGCATGTAAATTATGCAAAAAAACGCAACCTATAGGGCAAAAAATTTGGTATGAATAAAACTGTGCAACTGCAGCAAAAACTAATTTTTTTTAATTTTTTTGTAAAAATGTTGATTTTTAAAACACGTGATTAGAAACAGCTAAAATCTTTTAACGGTATGATCTTTACGCATTAAATATCAAGATTATTTGAGAATGACAAAAACAAATTCTATCTGTGTTGTACAGCCTTGAGTCCACTCTTCACGGCAAAAGTTTGTTGAACTCTTTTGGCCAAAAGCATTCAAGCCTTTTCAGGTTTTAGGTCCCTTCCGAGCTGCCTCAGAGTTCAAGCTTCAGCCAGGGTCACAGAGTCTTTACTGTACATTTATTTGCATCATTATTCCTAAAACTTCACTGATGAAACACAACCAGACAGAAACCTCAGTGAATGTCTCGAGTTTCTTGGTCGCACTCGCACACAAGCTTCCATATCAACTCCTGTGGCACTCCGGAGTGCTGCGTTATAAATCCACCCAGGACTTCATTAGAAAAGCCAGATGACAGATGAGAAGACTAATAGACACAAAATGCTTCCTGGCTGATGGACGCTCCGGCTGACTGAGAGTGAACGAGCGACTCCAGCAGTAGAGACACACATGATTAAATATTTTGACGGCTGACAAATCAACAGATGTCAGTTTTTTTTTTTTTTAATAACCCAGTTGGGTTTGAAGGCACAATGAACATTTTCATGATCAAGAAGTTTGAATGTTGATCAGAATAGCAACTGACACACCTTAAGAACTGGAGAACTATATGTCAACTACTCAAGCGGTGTGTGAGTAGGCAAAGCATATACAGTAGTCTCTCGCTACTTTGCGGTTCTTTTATTGTGGCATCGCTCTATTGCGGTTTTTCAAAATAAGATTGGACATGACACACAATTGGCTGATTGATGGATGAGCCGCACGATCGGCATGACATTTTTATTTAAATTAAATTATTTACAATTATTTAACACCTGCTGCACATTTGTGCAGCCCAGAGCAGCAGAAAAAACATCCTCCTGCAGCTTTGTGCAGCACATACTGCTGTAGGCTAAACTTCCTGCTGCAGATGAACAGCTGATCAGTTGTTCAGTGTGCAGAGCGAAGTGGGCGTGGCCAAGAGCGCTTGCAGGTGGCAAAGAGCAGAGGAGGCAGGGAGCTGAAATCATGACATTATGTGCTCTTTTAGAGCGTTTAGAGTTTAGAAACATTGTTTAGAATATTGCAAGAGTGTGGGAAGGGTTTAAAACGCCTTAATATATATTTATATAAATAATAAAATAAACTACTACTTACTACTTGTACTACTATTCCTACTTCATGGTTTTTCACTTATCACGGGTCTTCAGGGTACGGATCCCCTGCGATAAACAATTTTTATTTTTAAATTAGACAAATATTGCCTAAATAATTGGACTGAGCTAGGTGTTACCATGAAAATGAATATGCAGTTTTTGGGATTAAATCTATATACACTGTTATGACTTGTTCGACCCAATAAGATCAGTTCTATTTAATGATTAAACAAAATTGATTTGTGACTCAAATTTGCTGATTTGTTTTTTTTTTTTTTCAGACATGCTCTTAAAAAAAGAAAAAGCAGAAAAGCTACAAAAAATTATGTTTTTGTTTGAAGAAAAGATCTCATCAGCCAAATTTACTTCTCAGAAGAATGGCAGCAGCATCAAAGTGAACAGCAACAAACACTAAAAGTGTGCTTCATCTTGATCATGTGGGTCAAATAATAATATAGAAAAATACTTAGTTATTTATAACAGAAAACACATTTTCAACTCTGGTGAGATACTGAAAAAGTTCCAAACACATTTACTGCCTGTCAGATTTATGTTTTTTTGTAATATTGTGTAGTGTTTAATTGGCTGTCATATTTTATAAAAATGTTTTGTACTTTTAAATTGAGACTTGTGCGTGAGCAGTCACTTTTACTATCAGGCAGTAAAAATACAAATGTGGTAATATCATAGGCTTGTTCTTTTATGTCACTGTATTGAATTCAATCTTATAGTTTTTAATCCAAATTTATTGAACCCCTTCATATAAAAAGGGAATAATTTGTATTTGTTAGATTTCACTACTTGTGTGTCTTTGTTGAGTCAAATCATTGGCAGTGTTTAGGCATGAGTATTGTAATGGCCACAGATGAAAGATGCACAATCATACTGGGCACAGGTTAAATACCAAAATGGTTTGATCTGCCCACAAAAACAAGACAAAGGAGAAACTTAAAGTATAAATACAAAAATTGTAAACATTAAAGGTTTAGCATTTCTTGAAGGAAAGCATATCACCTGCAACCTTTGCTGATAGTTTTTATTCAAGATGGCATCCATATCCAACCACTACAATCACATCTTGTGAGAAAAGTTATTACTTAGAGTTTATGTTGAGGATTATTACACAGCTTATATTTGTATTTGTACACATAGTCTTTACTTTATTATCTCATAATTTAAAGTACGGTTTAATTATTTGTGTTTATTATTGTAGAAAGGTACAAATAAACTATTCTACTTTATAACAATAGTTGAATTCATTGACCTACAACCTAAAGCATGTGACTATAAGTGGTGTAGTAATGTTTTGTTCATTAGAATTCTGAGGTTTAATGATATTATGAGGAAATAGAAATATTCTCAGTTTATTGCCTTCTATGGGATATAAAGATAAAAACACACAAAAAACTTTATTTTTACTAAAATGTTTATAATTTACTGCTTTTTTTGTCTGTGTGAATTCAAGGCTATAATAAATAATGTCTCGATGTTTGCACATGAACTCTAAGAGTGTATTTCTACTGTCAAATTAAAAGTACTTCCCTGTCCCTGGTGGACAATGAAACTTCCTCATGACTAGTTTTCTAGAAATGCTCCATTTCTCTTCAGCACTCATGGCGATCGATGGTGCTCAGGGAGTCGGCGTACTAACAGACTTTAACTCAAACTCCTGCATGCATAACCACAAATCAGATGACGCACACAGACCAGACATACAGAAAGCTCAGGGATTCACTGTGTGTGACACAAGCAAACAAAATGCATGCATTGAAGAACGTATGCACACACAAACACACATGGAGGGAATACAGATGATTTATTAGTGCCTGGTTATGGTGAGGTTGTTGGCTTCCACACTAGCTGGTGTTTGTTTTGTGCCTGGAAGCTCTCAGCCAAAATAATCAGAGGGTCTGCTTGTGCACTAATTCCTTTCCAAGATCCCCTCAAGACGCAGCTTCTACAGAAGGTTAAAGGACGCTTAACACACTTCATCGCATGGCTGTCAATTTTTTACACCTTTATTTCCCTCGAGAAGACGTATAAGAGGTTTAATTTAGCTATTTGTACACACAAATGATTACTGACACGCGCTGCTCGTCTCAGGTGGAGGCCATGCATTGGAGGACAGGTGACTCTTCTCTGCCGGCGTCTGTGTGCAGCATGCCGTGCCGCACAGGAGAAAGGAAGAAAGTTGTGAAAGGTGTGCCGTGCTGCTGGCACTGTGAACGCTGCGAGGGATACCACTATCAGGTATTTAAAAAAAAGCTGATGAAGGTGGGACCAAAGTGGTTTGTTTTAAATTTATATATGCAGGAAGAAGCCCCCAGATGCTATTACAGCAAGTGAAGGAATGTGATATGAGGTTGAGGGGAAAGGTCTCATCACACATTATACAGATGCAAATCCTGTGATAATTTTGTCTTGGAGACAATTTGGCATCCCATCATCCTCCTTATGATAAAAAAAAAACAATAATATGAGCAGGGAAGTGTTTGTAAAGAGTTCCCTCACTCGAGAAGCAATCAAAGAAACAAAAATATTAGTTAGAAGAGCAGCAGACAGCGCTCAGTACATATTTTACACATTCATTTATTCAGGTAGTGTCAGCTCGTTGATCATAAGAAGTAAATAAATGTTTCAATGTTGCACAAACTTAAACCTTATCCACAAATAGAAATTGTGTGTTTTATTTTTAAATATCTACCAGATGTAATTTAAACTCTTGTAAAGGGTACTACACATTACATGCAAATACAAAATTAAATAAAGGTAAATGTACCTGAGTTAG